ATTCGAATCACCAAATCCTAAAATTCCCTGCAGAATCTTGCTTTTAAGTCATTAAATTTAGCACATGACGTATCTTTTAAGATAATTTGGTTATTTGATGAATTAAATAGACAGGAACTGGAGCATCCCTCCTTTTGACATGTAACTCAGAGGCCAGTTCTAACAAAAGAAARTGATATTATTCTGCTAGACAGCCTTATAGAAGGAAGAAAAAAAATATATATATTTTAAGTGTATTTTCAATTGTAGTTTTTATTTTTTCAAGTGATKCAAAGTTCATGTGAGAGCTAAGTAAGTCCAGGGCTAGGACTTTGTCTCTATTGTTATATCATGTGCATGTATGACTTTAACAACAAATTTCACCATTATGTACAACTAAAATACATCAATAAAAAATATGGAGACAAACAAAAAGCCAAATCATAAACCATGAAACAATGTCATTCACCACCGCAAAAAAAAAAAAAGAATTCTAATTACTATATAGGAATTTCTTCATCATATTTATAATTATGATGCAGGAATTAAGAGTGTCTAGAAAATCTTTACATTTTAAGTGATAAGTGTCTAGTTTCAAGAAGCCTGTATACCCAGTATATTTCCCATTATCAGTTTATTCGTATATCCAAGAGTCTTTATTTCAATAGCTAAATATATTCATATGTCCAAACATTTGTGTCCTGATATTTTTTTATTTAATGTTTTATTTATATTTTTTCTATCACTGAAGTTTGTTTGATTTTAGATTCATGTGTATCCTTATCAAAGAGTTAAGTTTGTGGCCAGAGAAACAAGAGAGAGTACCATGGTTTCAGGGACACTGGGACATAATAAGAGTGAGTAGGGTGATCAGGAGAAGTAATCTCAGAGAAGGGTTKTAAGAGCTGTAACCATATCTCATAAAATGTCTATCATTTATAATTGCTTTATAAGACTATTTGCCAAAAAGTCATCTTGGAGCAATTCTTTCATTTTTACTTTCCATCTTAATATTTTCCCCCAAGTCTCCCAGAATTCATGCTTTCTAATAATGCTAATTTTACTTCTTTGAGATGGAGTTATATTACTCTGAAATGATAGCTTGTTTGTGGCCAGAGGCTTATTTCTAAAAGCAGAACATGGTGTATTCAAATTGAAATTGTCTTAATCCTTTATTTGAAATATTTATTTATTTATTTAGTGTTTAGCAAATTTGCACAAATGAAAAAAAAACAGTATCAGGACATTTGTGATCCAATGATATGGGTATTCCTTCAATATCTAAGTTAAAGAATATACGTAGGCCTGTGATAGAACTGGAAACAGGAAATTGAAAGAACAGTCAGGGAAGAATGTCAGCTTCCCTTCACCTGCCCCTGCAGCACCTGGTCTGTTCTATGTTCATTGTGCATTCTGTATACATTGTGCATTCTGTATACTGGTTTCTTTGCTTCTCTGTGCCCTGGTATAAATCTTGCTGGTCCTCAGTTGAAGCAGCTACTACTCAAAATGGAGAGGAATTCCAGAATCCAATTCCTTATGGAAGGATGTAATCAGCCCACTTGGACCCAGCATTAATCCTTGGCTCAATAAACTCCAGCCAGAGAAAACAGAAAGAGACCGTGTTATCAGGGACAGTGGGAGGTGGTAGGAGTGAGTAGGGTGATCAGGGGAAGCAATTCTCAGAGAAGGGAATTTCAGTACTATGACAGTATCTCATAAAATGTCTATTATTTATAATTGCTTTATAAAGCTATTTGCCAAAACACAAACAAACAAACAAACAAAAAACAAATCCATATTGTTAAGTTCCTAGAAGCTGAATCTTTGTACTTATCTGAAGGTAAGTTTAAGGTCAGCCTACCTTAATGTTCTCTTGCCTTAATTCTCACATGACAATTGAGCCACTTCCACAAGCAAAAAAGGTTACAAGCAGAAATAAATTTAGAATACACTATTTGCATGTTGAGCAAAGAAATAGAGAGGGGACAGCTGGTGAAATTTGTTGTTAAAGTCATACATGCACATGATATAACAATAGAATTCATAAAAGAATAAGCCCTACTTCTCAATTCTTTTTATAGCCATCACTTCTGTCACATCTTCTTGAGAACCCATATAATGCTAACTAACAAACACCAGTAACTTAGTGATGTGATAACAAATGACAGCCTAAAGATTCACACAATGAATGGGACCTGTTATCATGTAGGGTTTTCTATGACCTAATATACTTTTTTGATCAGAATGTACTGTGTATTGATCAGAATTGTTAATATRGTATTCTATATTGGAAATCTGCTAAGGAAGTAGCTTGTAGGTGCCCTCACTACACTAAAGGTAACTTGGGAGGGTGATGGATATGTTAATTATCTTGAGTAAACATTTTATCATGTATATCAAAATATCTTTGTAGACCTTAAGTGTACACAATAAGAAGAAAAATTTGTCTCTAGGAATTAGCAGAAAACAAAACCAGAAATTTAAAAAATCGATTTTATAACTAAATTATATTAGACATGTTATGCCATGTTAAAAGAAAGGAATATTTTTAAATACAAAAACCTGACAATAGTTTAACTTAAAACTGACATTTAAGAGTTTCTTTAATTTACATATTTTGTTTTCATCTTCAAGCATCCTATAGGTAAAAAATATCTCATATTTTTTCATATAACAATCTTTTTTTGACATGGTAAATATGATCTAAATGTCCCATTTATAAGCCAGTAAATTGTTCTACAAAGTTTTTTTTTTTAAGATATTAAGGGTTGAAAACAGACAAGAACTGAACATACTTGTGAGGAGAGTAGAATCAGAAATATCAATAGCAAACACATCATTAGTTTACAAGTTAATGTTTTTCAGTTAATAGTGACCACAAAAGCTTCTATAGGGAATAAGGGCTTTAATGAAGGGCTTATTTAGCTCACAAGCACTAACAATATGCTGCAATTAAGCAATTCTAATCATTTCAGAGTAATATAACTAGATATAGTAATATAACTAGATATAGATATCAGTTTAATAAGTAGAAAATGAAGAGAAACTACTTAACATGTTACAGAATAGTCCCATGAAAACAGAAGTTTTAAGTTTTCCTTCTATATACATACTTTGTATCTAGAAAAGTGTCTAACACACAGTAGGTGTTGAACTATCAAATGAATGGGTTTTCTTTATAAATGTCTAGGATGTTAGTACAGCTTTACTGGCCTTTTCCCATTCAAAGACTGCTATGGTTTGAATGTTTGTTCCCTCCAAAAGTCATGTTAAATTTAACTGCAGCGTAACAATGGGACCTTTAAGAACCAATTAGATTAGGAGGGCTCACCCTCAGAAGTGGTACTGGTGCCTTATAAAAGGGTCAGTTTGGTCATCTTGTTCTTTTTTGCCCTCTACCTTCCMTTCTGCCCCTTGATGACACTACATAATGGCCTTACCAAATGCTCATGCCTTTGCCCTGAACTTCCCAGCCTTCAGAAAGATGAGCAATAAAGCTCTGTTCTTTATAAACTATCCAGTCTCAGGTATTCTGTTATAGCAGCACAAAATAGACAAATTTGCATTTGCACAAAGACATATTTGCATTTTATGGCCATCTGTAATCTTCGGTATCCAGCTATCCCAGAAAGCTAATAAAGCATTAGAAATAAACTTCTATACCTCCTCTGCCACTGACTAGTTATGAAACTTAAGGCAAATTGTCTTGTGATGGGACCATTCTAGCCATCAACTTCTGCTTATAAACTTTGGTGGCTGTAATAAGCTTTGTAGCCACTCTCTAGTTCTTTATTTTTGTAATTTATATATCCATCCAAGAATTCTGTTTTAAACACTGTTTTCTAACAGCATTTAAAATATAATTTGATGGATACAAATTTTCCTTGGTTAAAAACCTACAGAAATATACTTTTGATACTAAATGAGAGGCAAACAATGCTATGATTCAGAAAGCTTTACCACTGTCTTTTAAGTGGCATTAGCATAGAGGCAGAAGCTTTAAATATTCCTAGCAAATACAATATCTACCTCCGAAAAGTGATAGATATACAGAGAGCCCCCAATTTACAATGGTTCAACTTAAACAATTTTTGAGTTTATAATGATAAGAAACAGCAACATGTTTCTAGAAGAAACCATACTGCAAGCTGTGGATTATTCCCAGGCAAGTCATATGTGATGCGACACCCTCTCTCAACTCTGGACATGGCAGTGAGCCACAGCTCCCAGTCAGCCATGCAGTCACTAAGGCAAACAACTCCACAGTATACTGTGCTGATAAGGTAAAGATTTGGTAAATCAGGTGTATAAAATCACTTTCAATTATAATATTTCAGCTTAGGGTGGGTTTATATCAGGAGTAACCCCATTTTAAGTTGAGCAGCTTCTACAGAGGTTTTCACAGACTGTTTTAGTAAACAAATGTCTATATATGAGTTTCCTTTGATTTTTTTTTAGTAAAGGAAATCTGTAGTTTCTTGTTCATCATCAYGGTGTTCATACTCTATGGAAATCAAATATTTGTCTCACCCCACTGGATTATGAGCTCTGTGATGACATGATGAAGTACAGGCTGAGCATCCCTTATCTGGAATGCTCAGGACCAGAAATGTTTTAGATTTTGGAGTTCAGGATTTTAGAATATTTGCATCTACATGAGATCTTGGGAATGGGGCCCAAGTCTAAATGCAAAATGCGTTTGTGTTTCATATATATTTTATATAGCCTGAAGATAATTTTATTCAGTGTTTTTATAAATATTATAGTGCACCTGTGTTTTGAGTGCTCAGTTWTGGTTGTGGATTTCAGATTAGGTATGTTCAACCTATATATAGAAACTGATGGCTGGGACATCTGGTTCTTAATCTCATAACCAGAATCCACTATCATTTCCTCGACAATACTGCAGGTTTTCTTATCATGAGACAAAAAAATTAATGGGTCCAAAACTGTCCTTAAAGAATACACTAAAATTATATAATTTTAGAACATGGAGCCAACAGGGTAAATGACCTTACCTGGGCAAGCTTACGCTTTTCTATGTTTCCTCCCTTTTCACTGTGTAAAGTGTAAACTGGTGTATATTGTACCGAACCAGAACAGGTCCCGTAGTCCTCCTCATTTTCCTATATATGAAAAAATGAGCAAGGAATTATTTTAGCATATTTGTTCTATTACCAAAGTTATTTGATTAATAGACTTAGTATCTGATACACATGCATACAATAAAAAACACTTCAACTATAAAATTTAAATAGTCTATTTAGGAACAAAGTACATTCTTCTAAAATGTGAATTAATTTTCATAATGAACTCTTGAATAACCTGAACTACTCTGAAAATTTCAATTATTATGCTTTCTTGAAAGGTGAAAGTAAAAAATGTAACAATTTATAATAAAATCTATCATAATATAATGTATAATCAAACAAAATACACATATAYTGACATAATTATTCAAATACCTGCAATATCATAAATTTAAATATAAATCCTCATATACAAAATTAAGAATAATATTCTTCAATTTAAAGTAACTGTTTTGGAAAGAGCCTCTAAAACAAAGAATGGCATTTCTGAATTAATTCTATTTCAAAGGTATCTTTTTTTAAAAAAAATTCTCAGCATGAAGCAAGAACTTCAATTGTAATATCAAGGCAATCAACTTTATGAAAACATACATCCGGTTAATCATCTTTGAAGATCTCCACAGTTCTGTGATAAAATATGCAAACAATAAAGAGATTGTTCAGTGTATGCATATAGAATGGCAGAGAGTTGCCAGAGGGCTTGTTATGAAAAATACATTTTTGAACAAAGGGATAAGCATATTTCAAAAGTCATTAAAAACATAAGTCTCATGTGATTTGTAAACATATAAGCTTCAGATGAAGACAACAGTGAGGGTAGAAGGAAACAACACCACGCACCTTGTGCTTCAGTTTACTCTTCACTTCCTTCAATCCCAGCTTTGCGTGGTTTTTTGCCTAGAAAATGATAATGAATGTGTCTGGTTCAGCATAGTTCTATTAACACTTTAAAAATAAGTACACATGATCACATTTAAAGAAGATTACTATTTGCATTATTTAGAAAAGGAGCTGATTATAACCTAAAACTATTTTCCAGGACACCATCATTCACTATTTCATTATACCTAAATTAAATCATAATTAGGCTGTATTTAATATTTCCACAAATCACACAAAGGCTAACATTTAGTCTATTTTGTCTGGTAACCTATAAAAAACACAAGGGGGATCTACCAGATTTCTAAAGTACAGCCTTAATTTAAAATTGTGACAAGCTAGGGGCAAAGAGGAAGCATATCATACCAGAAAATTATTGGGGCAAATGTTTAAACTTCAAGAAACTCAGGCAACTTTACAAAATTTTATTAAGGTGCTTTTATAGGCAGTCACAGAAATTTTACAAATAAAGCCATTGTGATGATATGTCAATTTCATATATTTTTTTCTGGCAAAAATTAAAAGTCATTTAACACTTTGAAGGCTATCCGTTTTTCACTAAAGTTTGGCTCCAGATTTGAGTGTCCCAAGTCCTGCTGTGAAGTGTGTAGAGTATAACTTAACTAAAGACAACTGGGAGTTTCACAAAAGCCTTAGCCTTTGCTCTACTTGAAATTCCAGTTCACTGTGGCCAGAGTGAAAAAGGAGAAGAAAGGAATTCACATTTATTTTCTTTTTCCTAAATACATGATTGTGTCCTGGGTGCTTAGCATACATTATTTCTTTTAGTCATCACAGGTTGAAGTTCAGCATGATTGTTATCATAYCTAACAAATAAGGAAAGTGACTCAGGAATAATAAGCCAAGATTCAAATCTCAATCTATTTAATTATAAAGTCTAACTTCTCTTATTTTAATTTATATTAAAATTATAGAGTCCAACTTCTTAAAGAAGGAAGTAAAGTTATAAAAATATAATCACTCAATTTAAGTCTCACCAAAAAGAAGGCATTGTGAACCTCACTGTATAGACAGAGAAACTGAAGACACACATGCTGAAGACTTCAACTACAAAGGCCATGCTCCACTTAACCCATCCTGATCTCTCAAGGTGCTTTTAGAAAAAGTAAACACATGACTTTCCCRATTTCTTTGCAGAAAAGGATCTTATTTCCTTCCTGTTAATATCTGTAGTAATCAGTAGAGTATTTGGCATACCATAAGGAATATCTTGAACTGAATAAAACAATTGATTCTTCATTGTAAATGAAGCAAACTAAAACATACTACATAGTAAAAGTAATCCAAAAAGCCAATAACTCTAAATTATATCCTATTCTTCGTTAGAATTGATAAATAGCACTTTCACATTCTTCATTCATAAAGCTACCTAATCTATTTAATAGGTYCTATATTAATTCCTATATTTCATTGGTAAAAATATGTAATTACCAAGGAAAAATGCTTTTGTTCCCATCTCTTAAGAGTTTGTACCCATCTTTGCTTTTACTGCATTTGGACTATATTCTGGTTTATCTAGACATCCTCTAATCCACCTGATCATACTTATCTTTCCAGGTTCTCCTGTATCAAGTTGAAGCTAGTATTAATCTCTTCAGTAGTTCTGCAACTTGTGCACTGATTAATTTAAATGTATACAACCCTGCCTACTCATTAGGTTTCCTTCATACTACCTAGAAGATGGAGCAGATTCTTTCTATCCTTTTCAATTCACCAAGCTGACATTCAACAATGTCAGCAACTATTCACTACAGAAACGCACCAAACAAATGGCTTTGACTAATGCAAGGATCTAATGAAAAGATGAATTAGAAAATCTTTTAGTCAAATCAAATATATAGTTCACTTTGCTGTAATTCTTAAATTATGAGAATGTGTGTTCCATCTCTTGCTTGCTTTATGGGCCCTTTTAATATGAAAAAGTACAGAAAGCAGAGAAAAAAACTTTCTAGCATAGAAATAAGTATAGAAAAAATATTATAAGTACAACACAAAATCATTATTTACTTCAACAAATACATATCCAGTACTTCAGTAGTATGTTCAAAACACAGGGTGAAATGATGCCAATATCAATATAACATCAGGAATATCATCTCTATTACTTATAGTACTTTATATGCTAAGCTAACTCCATGTTGAGAATGAGGCCCAGTTCATGACAGTTATTCAAATAATAATGTATAAAACAGAGGCAAAAACATGGCCTCTGCTGCTTAAAAATCTGCCACTTGTAGACAATAAATAACTTCTGTTATACCCACATAAAGAAATTAGAAGTAGTATTCATAGCAATTTATAGTCAAAGAAGGAATTTTAGTGCACATATTTTAGAACATGAGCAATCTRGAGAGATCAGTTTTAGGTAAAATTATGAAGGTCACAAAATAACTGATTAACCTGCCTCAAACCTTTTGATTCATGTCTGATATGATACAAGATAAATGATAAAAAGTTATTAAGTATATTCTAAATACCATAATTTGTTGAAATTGATTTAGGGAATAATTCTCCAAAGAGCAGAATTCTTAATTTGAAAAGATTTCATTGCCTTGCAGAAAAGTGTTCAAAAAAAAACATTCTACTGACTAGAAAGATCAAATTTTAAATAATGAATGGGTCTGAACATGTTTGTTTTATTATTGTACTTTTATAAAAGATAAGAGTGAAATTCAGGAGGAAAGCACACATTTGGCAAAACTATACAAGCTCTCTAGGCTTGCTCCAGGAATAAAATGAGGGCCTACTAACTGCAAAAACTTTCCTAGCATCTAGAATTTTGTGTGTGTGAGAAACAAGGCTTGATATTAGTTTGTTTTTTCACTTGGTAGCTGTGTGCTATTTCATTGTGAAAAATTTCCCTTCAAAAGCAACTTAAATCAGCCCATTAGAGGCAGTGATCTCCTAGAACAGCAAAGTCATGAGGAAACCAAACAAAAGGCAGAGGCTGAACTTTCTAAGGCAAACTGATGACTTCTTTTCATTTAATGCTTTATGAAATGGATTCAAATAGTTCAGAATGTTAGAACTTTATTTTTGAATCAACTCCGTAGATTAGCTTCCCTACCAAAAAAAAATGCGATCTTTGAAACAGATTTTTTTCAATCAGAAGAGTAACTACGTTTATATTGCAATTGCATGTAAGAAAATAACATAAATTCTAAACATTAAAATATACTATTTTATTATTATTTCTATCATATCAATTATTTATTGAGAAAGCACTTGAAGATAAATTTTTATAATATCACAATTACTACCCTGAATATATTTAGAAATACAGAATATATGTGACCTATTGAACTTAAAAAAACAAACAAACAAAAAACTTCACTACCACTAGATAATCCCTAGAGAAGCTACTGGTCTAGTGTAGAGATAAACATATATGAAGACACAGAAAGTGCTGAAGCAAGTTCCTACAGTTCAAATGGAACCATAGAAATAGATCTATAAACTTAGCTGGTTTTTTATTGTTGTTGTTGTTGTTTGTTTGTTTTTTTGGCATGGGATTGGGAAAACTTTTTTCCAAGRGACATTAATAGATGAACCGGTGGTTTACTAGATGGATAAAGACCAAGAAATGGATGTTCTAAGTAGTAGGACATCTTCTTCTWGAACAAGAATAGAAGGGCAGAAGAAAACATCTTACATTAAAAAAATAAGGTGTTGCTAAATATGTTCAGACATATGAAAGTTTCAGAAGAATCGGGGAAAAGAGAACAGAATACAGGAAGGAACAGGTAATGCAAGGTCTTAATTATCATATTTAAAGAGATTTTAAATTTATTATTTGTTCATTGTTACTGTGGTTATTGTAATTTACTACATGCCATGGAGAATTACTGAAGAATTTTAATTTTGGAGAGTCAATGAATCTTTGAGAGAAGAGATATTGCCACATTTTTCTACTTCTGCCTCAAATGCACAATGAGAATTTAAAATGAATGAAAGAATCAAATTTATAAAACGATACCTCCTCATGAACCRTTTTAATGTGCTGCACAATTGTGCCGGTAGCTTTGAAATAAAATGAAGAACCATTTTTAGATTATTTAAAGGAAATGCTCTTTCTATACAATAAGATAACTTTTTAGCTGAATTTGTGTTGGTCAGTATTAATTTTAAAGTTTTTTAAAGCTTATTGAAAAATATTTTGAATTCATATGTGTATCTTCTAGAGAGTATATAAATCTGTCAACAAAATTATTAAATACCATAAGAACACTTACAAATTTATAAGCTGTCCGTACTGCAGGCGTTGCTTTGGTCATTGCTGTGTTGAACAGTGCACCTCCTTTCTGCAAAAGAAAGAAATGTTTCCAAAAACTTTTGGCAAACTGTTCTGAAAACAAGGCATTATTAGTAGTATACAAAAATAATTTTACTCACAAGTTAAATACCTTTTAAAATTATTTTTTAATATTTTAARATACTACAATAACTATAAACATTTGATTCTGTTCTTTTAGTTGGTATATTACATCATTTAAAAGACATTTTATCTTTGAAGWTGCAGACAAGTAACATGGGTAGTAAAACTTACATATTTAAAACTTAATAAAAAGGGAATAAAATATTTATCAGCTGTTTTAATATTGGGTAGTAAAGTTTAATCAATAGAAGAGAGATTTTATAAAAAGTCATATCAACAAAACTATGTTATCAAGAAGTTACAAAAGTTCCATGAAATCTGACTATTCCAACTAGTTCCTTATCTGGAATATAGTATAAAGTGACAAGAAAATATTGCTTTACAAAATATGTCATTTATCTCAAAACAGAAACTTTCAAATTTAAAATTATATTTATGAATATCAACAAACTATAAGCATAAAATAAGAATATGTACACTGAGAAAATTTGCACACATTTCAAATATTATAAATAAGTAGCAAAGTATAAATAGCATACTTTTACTGATTTCTCCATATCACAGTGAAAGAAGAAACTTTGAAAGCATATTATTACCTTTACWGTATGTACCCACTGTTGATATGACCTTGGGTTTCCTGGAATATAGAAAATCTGATATCAGGAATCAAAAATAAAAATTTATAAATTAAAATTCATCAATAACTAGCACTTCTAGCATCTTAGTAGGCAAATTTTACTTACAATGTTGTAAAAGACGCAATGGCACAATGAGAATTAATGCTTTAATTTTTATAATTAGCACTTGAAAATGGACACTTCATTGACATATGAAAATAATATATTATTATCTATTCTTTTATTTTCATATTGGCCTCAGAGGGAATATCTCACCTCTTTTCAAATCCAAAATTTCTGTTTTTTTAAACTTAATTTTCAATGTTTTATGTCTCTGCTGTTTTGTAAAACATAATTTTACTTAAAATGCCACTCAATTGCATAGAAAAGTGTGAAAAAAACAGAAGGAAATTTGGAGCTGAAAGAATCTGAGGTACAACAAATTTATTCTGTGGTTATTAATTATTAACATATTAATTAACTTTATTTTAATGCAATTAAACTACAGTTTTAGTTCTGAGCATATTTTCTGGTTACAAATCTATAAATTTGAAAGGTATTACCCAAGGAAATGTATAGAAAATGTAGCTTTTAAGCTACAGTGTACCTGGTTATTATTATTACAAAGCTCAAATGCTGACAAAAACTAGTTCTAATACAATTTGGAAGAATGACTTTGAAATACGGTAAATAATTTGGCCAATAAAATGAGATTCAAAGGTAAAAAAGTAATCCATATTACTAGCCTAATCTTTCATATCAACTGATTTCAACTACTTCCTTGTTAGTATAAATGTTTAAATATTCTCTAAAGAAGGGTGAAAATCACAATAAAAATCAAAATGTTACTAGGTGTAGTGGCAGTGGTACACCTGCAATCTCAGACTCAGGAGGTTAAGGCAGGAGGATGGCAAGTTCAAAGCCAATCTGGGCAATTAAGCAAGACCCTACACCAACATAAACAGTAGAAAGGGCTGGGAATGTAGCTTAGGGATAGTGTATCCTTGTGCTCAATTCCCAGTAACTTCCTTCTAAAACAAACAAAAAATCAAAGTGCCAGTCGCTACCCTGTCAATAACCAGGTGCAAGTAACTTCTAAAAATGGTGTTCCTTTGTTTGTGGTTGTGGCTTAGAGAGGTGGGGAGGAGAAGTACCACCTTGCTGTTATAAAAACAGAAGCAGAATGATCCCAGCCTAAGAATTTCTTTCCTGTTATTCTTTGTAACCCTAATAAACATCAGGCAAAGCATTGTGCTCTGGATTCACTCTTAGACTTAAAATCTTTTCCTAATTTAAAGAAGTATCAAGAAATCACTTTTATTCTGATAAACTTTTATTCTGATAAACATCTCTTACCACCCAACCGTGCATTATGCCTTTTTTTGGAGAAAATAATCTAGAGAGAAATACTATACTTTTTTAAATTTTGTAGATGACTACACAAAAATCTATCTACCTAAAATAATTTATGTAAAATAAGTTTAAAAGGGTAAGCTTTAAGAGGACTTGGCTTGTCCAAATTTTTTAAAATGTACTTTCCATTGTAAAATAACAAATTCCAAGTTATCCTATAAGTTTATTTCTCAAGGAGATTTTTATTAATGATAAAATTAAGTGTATATTTTTATTCATCCAGATTATTCACTTGTCTATTAAAAAGTCTCATCAGTTCATATATTTTTTACTTCTTTATTATTAAAAATGATTGAGTCAAAATCATGAATTTAAGATTTAGATGTTATTCACAGTTATTCTGTAAAGTATTTAATTATTTTCCTAAAATGAATTTAAGAAATCAGAGAAATGCCAATAATATAATATTTCAGCATTTTTGGATACTCAAACACAGAGAAAATAGCTATGATAAGACAATGGATCTGTTATAGAAAGGTTAGTGTCTTATTTAGGATTGTAAGGTTTAAAAAAGTTCCTACTGAGCTCTCCACAGGTCACAGATGTTTTTATCTACATTATGTTATTCGATCTGAACCTTTCTACTATAAAACAGGCAAAGCAGGCAATGCCATAGGCAACATAGCTGGATGGGAAGGAAGCAGCATTTGGTGTGCAACAGACCTTTGTAGTCCAGATCCACCCTGCAAACCATGTGATATGGAACTAGGTTCTTAATAGCAGAGCCTCACCCTCCTTATTCATCAAAGCCTATCATTGCCTTTTAGGATTAATGTATATAAGAATGAAAGATAATTATTATATGATATTTAGTAGGGTACCTAACACATCACAGAACCACCATAAATGTTAGTTATTATTAATTATTATTAATAAGTTTCCAAATAAGGAAGCTGTGGTTCTGAGATGATACATTCTTTGCCCAAATTTGGAAGTCTAACAACCAAGAAAGAATAATCTAGGCATTTTAATTCCTGGTTCATTATTCTTTCAACTCTGAAATACTATCTCTAAGACTACTTAGTAAAATATCAGAAATTTAAGTTATACAGAGGTTTCTCTATATCACCTCCAAAGCAATTACATTAGAAAGGGATGCTGGGTGCAATGGTGCACGCCTGTAATCCCAGCAGCTCTGGAGGCTGAGACAGAAGGATCATGAGTTCAAAGCCAGCCTCAGCAAAAGCAAGGCAACTCAGTGAGACCCTGTCTCTAAATAAAATGCAAAATAGGGTTGGGGACCAGGCTCAGTGGTTGAGTGCCCCCCGAGTTCAACTCCCATCCCCTCCCGCAAAAATAAAGAAAAGAGAAAAAGAAGAAAGGGAGAGGCTCGGGCTGCTCAAGCTAGAGCTTTGAAAGGGAAATAAAATATCTAGAATAATATAAAACTATGACATATGAGGGCAAACAGTAATTCCCTAGGAATAAATAAACTGGTTAAGATGACAACAATTTAGGTAGATTCCTGTTTTTAAAAATTTAAGGACTGTATCCCTAAATTTTACTGTTTTATGATATAAGTAAGGTTYCTATTTCTATGAAATTTATGAGACAAGCACATAATCCTTTGGTAATGTTAAAAAAAAATAAGGCTGCTTTTCTTCTTAAAAATTAATTTGAATGCAAAAAATAATCCATCAATGTTTCTTTTAAGTTAACTGTCTCAGGCAATTAACAAGCCTTATTTAAAAATTTTAACATTCTTATTAAACAACTCATTTTGACATACTCAAGGACAAAATATCTTTAGCTTTCACTTATGCAAAGACTGTTTTTTCAAATGTATTTGTTCAAATTCCAGTAATGTGTAGTTATTTATCAAAATATGTAAATTGATCTAAAGTGCTTATGTGGCCAGAAAAATGCCACTAAAACTGATAAATATCTACTACCTCATCAAATTCTTTAATACCTTAGTCAGTAAAAAAAAATAAACAAAGATCTGACCAGATTATATCAGGAAGCTAATGAGGAAATACATGCTACTAATGAAGAGTACCCACATACTCCTATATAAAAATCAACATTAAAATAGTTCTCCTTTCTAAAGTTTAGACTATTTGATGAGGATTTAAGAACTAGTATTATTTTAACTGAAAATATATTTACAAAACAACATTCCTATTAAACTTTCTTGAGTGGCTTTCACAGACTAATCAGGAAAAAGAACCTTAGTTTGGTGAGCCTCAGCCTCATCATTCATCTTAACAGTCAATGGCTTTTAGGATTAATCTGAGTATGAAAGATAATGATGATATGATGTTTAGCAGGGTATCTAACACATCCCAGAAATACCATGAGTGTTAGTTATTATTATGAATAACTTGTCAAATGAGGAAACTGTGGCTCTGAGATGATCTGTGTTTACCTAATTGAGTCTTGTTATATTCATGTCCTCTTATATTATATTTCAACATCCATGGATACATTTCCCTTCATATATTTCCTGGTATCTTTTGTTACTATTCTTATAAATTAAGATTAAACATTCTGCAAAAGTGATGAAAAGAATCAAGTATAACATGAATCGCTTAGTAGTCCTGATTATGAAAATTTATGGGACATAAAAAGGTTTTATAAAATCTCTATGAATTCACAGATTCTTTAATCATATTTCTAGATTCAAATGTGAATCTAAATGTTCGATATCTGATTATACTGCCTTGTATAATTTTAATTAGAACCACAATTATACCATACCCAACAATCATTTTATCATAAAACAACACTAGCAACAAAAATAGCATACAACTTACTACTGTCATGATGTATAGATGCTTCCCTAAATTTTCCTAATTATTTTTGCTTAAAGAAACTTAATTTTGTTCTTCAGTTTTAGTTAATGTTGATTTCTCTTACAGTGATCTTTTCTGTGCTTGATGTATAAACAAATCTTCTAGATATGGTCAGAAAGATAGTACTTTTGCTTTTATTTAGTGTCCTAAAGAGGGCTTAAGTGCTACTTTTGCTTACAACCTGTTCCCTTATTAATATCTCCTAGTATAAAAACATAGATATGCTATAGTCATTACAGCAAGAGCTTTGAAACTAGGTAGATAYGTGCCGAGTTCAGACTGGTCTCTACTTCCTATGACTTTGAGAGAATTACTGAATTGAGTGCCTTCATATAAATGGGCTAGTCAAAGTGCCTCTTAGAGTGTAGTCAGGATAAAATGAGAATTTCTGTCACATATTAGTACTCAATAAACATGAACAATTACTACAGTTACTGTAAGAGAAATGAGAGTTATTACTGTTTACATTTTACAGGTGAATGTCATGGCAGATATACTCTTCCTTCTCCTGAGTATACTAGATGACACAGTTGGAGGAGACCACCAAGAAATATTTTTGGAAATAAGTAAATATAAATATATATATATATATATATATATATATATATATATATCCTAAACAGACATATATGTCCTAATTAGTAGTTAGAAGAATATTACTAATTTTATTAGTCATTTTTCTTATTTCAAATCCTAGTGAATTATGCTTTATTTTCTAAGAATAATCCCCATGTATCTCTAAAAGAATCTAAGATACAACTAAAAATAAAATTTGACAGGTATTATTTTAAGGTACTTCTTTATTTACTGAAATGAGTAATTGCTGAACTAGGATTTCCTTTGGGATAGGTTATTTGCTCCCTCAAATYAGAATACAAGCTCAAAAACATTTTCTGTACTAAATTGTACTAAAGAACAACAAAGCAATTGAAATTGAGTTGAACTAACAATGTGGCAGTCTCTAAGTCAGATGATAACCAGTGATCATATTTCCCTATTATTTTTTAAGTGATAAAATCTTTAATTAAAAAAAATCTTAGTTATCCTCTTCCACCAGAAAAGCCATCTATTTCTACTTTATTACAGAGGTATCTTGAGCAATGGTTAAGACTACAGAATTTAACTGTATAAAAGAATCATAGTTCTACCCCATTACTGTCACAAGATGTCAACTTCAATTCTATAAAAGCTACTAGCCCCACGGGTCATAAAGATAATGAGATAGCAGTTATGTAAATACTGAATAGATGCCTCAAGCAATTTGTCCATAAGCTGACAATATTTTGCTTGTCTGAGTTGAAAAGTAAAACAGCATTATTTTAACACAAAAGTTCCATTGAAGCTAAATTTTTCCCTAAGAGCTGAGGAAAGCAAGGAGCTGAATGATTCCATATGCAGCTTACCTACTAAGTCAAATAGAACTTTTTCCCCAAGCTAAATGCTATCAATAAAATGCTGTACCTTAGATAAAGGTCTGCAATTGCAAAATTCATTTGTACTTCTTTTAATGAAAAAATGTATATTTATTTCTATATTTTAAGGTRAGGAAATAAATCTTATTTAAAATTAAAATCTGTTAAATTTATAGATGAATACTTATGACTTTTTATCTTTTCATGTTTTCTCAATTCTAACAACTATTTATTCATGCAGACTAAAAACTTCTTTTCTTCAAATATAACTACAAAGAGTTGAAAAATGCTATTATACCAGGTTAAAAACAAACACACCAAGATATAGAGGGAAAAAATCTTATATTGCTTGCCTGGTATCTAGAACAGTACATAGTAAGGACTCAGTAATACTGCCTGAAAGAATGAATAAATGGGACATTTCAAGGACTCAACCAAAATTCTGTGTAAGTTGCGACTATATACTAGAACATCTGTGCACAAAACATCAATCTATAAATCATTAGTTGCCCATATAATTATATTTTTGGATATTTACATTTGAATAATTAATTATACTTATGGGAATCTTGCGTGACACCATAAATACACTACACCAGAGGGCTGTAGAACTAGTTATATTTACGGAATGATATACTTTTCCTAATGCTGAAGTGATCTGCAAAGTAAAATAGGAAAAGACTTCCATAAAATAATACACTTACATAAAAATGCAGAATGAGTTATGGTGTTCAAATATTTCCCTTTAGATTATATTACATGTGCCATTTCAATCCGAATCTCAGTTTTTAAATTCATACTCAGAAATTACCACTACAATTATTTTCTGGTAGAGACAACTATTTAGGAGGAAAGGCAAAAGGATATATATTTTTGGACTTCTATTATTCATTTGCAGTATTATTAGGAGATTGTCCAAGTCAATAGCTACCAATTCATGAAGACAAACTTAATGCCTTGAATAACAGATATCAAACAAAATTACTTGATATTGATATTATAAGATGAAAAATATACTTAAGACATTATGTATATATAGAAGAAAAGAGTTGTTTATGAAACAGRATATATAAATTCAAGTACAAAAAACAAGATAATTGTTATTTTAAAAATGGATAATAATATTGTAAATAGGTTTTACCTCCACAAAAGCCACCTGAACTGATTTCTTCTTCAAATACATCAGAGAAACCCCTTCCTGCATTTAGTTTTGCCAGTCGACCATCTATAAACTGGAAAGTATCAAATATGTTAAGTTTTCATTTATTTCACAATATTAAATTTTCACTTATATCAAAAATATTAATAGCAGATTTTCCCTCATATAATCACATATAATATGATATACGTATACATACAGAATAAGAAATTCTCAAAACAAYGCAAAGAGCAGGTGCTCAGTAAACAGCAACCAATTAGTTAAACCACAATGAACAATTACTACAGTTACTGTAACAGAAATGTCCAGCACAGACTGTAGTTTTCTTAAAAATAAGAAATGGCAAACTATAGCAGTAAAGGTCATAGGCTCTGGAAAGGTAACTCAGTGTACAATCTCCACAGAAGAGTTTGCACTAAAGCACATCTGCCTTGCCAAGAGCCATTTGTCCCTGAAGTTGTATCTTCCCTCACCAGTACCTGTCTCCTGGTGTTACTGCAAACATGAAATTATAATAACTTAGTTTAGTGTTCTTAACATAGCCTCTGACACAGTAAGTGTCCAAGAAATGTCAGACATTACTACTTTTGAGATTAATATTAACTTTAGTGAAATAAAACTTTCTTTGTCTAAACTATTATGTCCTAAAGTGTAATAGGGTATTGAGAAATTCTAATCATTTAATAATAAAATAAATATAACTTTCACAATTTCTGGCTTATTTGCTCATTGGATGATCACAGTTAAAATTATTAATTCAAACATAGTTGAGATAAACACATATTTCTTTGACTATAAGTTTCTTTTAAAATTGTTTTCAGTGTTCTTAAAGAAGAGACTGCAGTGAGATGCAGAAGCCAAGATAAGCATCAAGAAACACTTTCAAAATTACAATTACCTTGCAGGGCACCTCCCAACCATTCTGCCCTGTTCCTACCTATCCCAACATATACAGCATAGTAAAGTCTTGTGGTTTTGCTATTGCATTTGAAAAATATCTCCACATAATTTTATATGACCAACCTCAAATGAAAATCTGTGATATATTTTAAATGTATATGTTTTACTGTCACTTGGGTACTTTTTATTTTGCTGAAGTGTGACATCTAGAATTAGACGTATTGATAACAAAGGTGAATATCTCTAAAGTTTTCTTGCCTAAAATCCAGAGGACAACATAGAAAAAACTTAAGAAGTTTTTTGCAAGGCTGACTCTAATATTTGAGGATTAACAAAAAATGCTTATATTCATTCTACAATTAATTAATTCTCACTCTAATTTTTATCCTAGAAATTTAAATTTTAGCTGAGTTAATAAAATAGCCTGTATAATTTCTTTCATATATCTGTCAATCAATCGACAAATATATGAAAAAATGTTTAACATCTCTAGCAATTAGAGAAATGCATATCAAAACTACCCTAAGATTTCATCTCACTCCATTCAGAATGGCAACAATAAATGTTGGCAAGGATGTGGAGAGAAAGGCACACTCATATATTGTTAGTGGGACTGAAAATTGGTACAACCAATATGGAAAGCAGTATGGAGATTCCCTGGAAAACTTGGAAAGGAATCACCATTTGATCCAGCTATCCCACTCCTTGGTTATACCCAAGAACAGTATACTACATGGACACAGTCACATCAATGTTTATAGCAGCACAATTCACAATAGCTAAACTGTGGAACCAACCTAGATGTCCTTCAATAGATGAATGGATAAAGAAACTGTAGTATATATACACAGTGGAATATTATTCAGCATTAAAAGAGAATAAAATCATGGCATTTGTAGGCAAATGGATGGAGCTRGAGAATATCATGCTAAATGAAGTAAGCCAATCCCCCAAACCAAAGCCTGAATTTTTTCTCTGATACAAAGGAACTGATCCATAATGGGTGTAGGTGTAAGCATGGGAGAAATGGAGGAACGTTGGATAGGACAAAGGGGGGGGGAGGGGATTGGGTATGGGGGTAGGAATAATGGTAGAATGAGATGAACATCAGTACCCTAAGTACATGTATGAAGACATGAATGTTGTGACTCTACTCTGTACAACTAGAGAAATGAAAATTTGTGCTCTATATGTGTACTATGAATTGAAATGCATTCTGCTGTCATGTATAACAAATTAAAATAAAAAAAACATTTTTTCACACTTTGCATTATTTTTTATTTGAATCATTAATGGACAAAACTAATTAAGAAGTGATGCATAGAGCAATACAGTATTCTTCATGTGGCAATTTAGGACAACTGACAGCAATAAGTTTTATCAGTGATAAGGTTTTCAGAAAAAAATTACATATAAGAATTAAGAAATAATGGCCAATGAATCAGCAGATTCCTGTTCAAAATGTGTTTTGATATCTTTTTGTTACTATAGAATGCTTTTATCTAAAAATGTGGTTAACATTGGTTTAAATAAGCAGCCTAAAATAATAAAGTCTTAGCTTTTTGAGAGTTTGCTTTGCTTTCACAAAACCTAGAACTCTTTGAGCACAGAGACCACAGATGACCTATTTTTAATACCTCCAGATGCTTGGCATGCAAAGGTTTTGGTCTGAAGTGTGAAAGGTCACACCACAACCCACCTTTGACTGGTTTTATAATGTTGGGCAACTTCTTATCTYTGCTTCCCCTTGTATGAAAAAGGAATGATTATACACCCTTATGAAGTTTTGTGAGAGCTCATTAAAATAGTATGAAAAGACTATAGACTATAGACAGTCTCAAGTATACTGAAACAATGCTAAACATTAGACACTTTTACCTGGTTTAAATCTAAATAAGTATAATGTGTAGAATCAATTCATTTAACTCTATATTAAAGTCAAAGTTTATAACTTATAATGGAAGCATGGGAGAAATGTATGACAACAGATTAGTTTGAAAATAAGGCAGTTTAAAACACATGTAAACTTTCATTTKCATATAATGTCAGCATAGCAGTATAAAGTGAATTTAAAGTGATCTAATTTGATGGACTAAGTATCATCTTTTAAAAAATAAAATGAAAGCAACATGATAAATTTAAAGTAATATGTTACTGGCAAGTCCAATGAACTGAGGCATCCTTTTAAAGAACTTAATTTGCTCTAAAAGATTAGGACTATAAGACTTTTGAAAAGGTCTTCATTTTTGTATTTCTGGAAATAATCCATCCATTTTATTAAATGAGTGGAATAGTTCAAGTCAAAAAGGTGATAAATCCCAAAACTATTTACTGATTACRCATTTTTGAGTAAGAGCAACCACTTTGTGTTACTAAACTACTGATTTGAGCCAACAAAAATTAATCACTTGTAAATGCCATGTTGTTATCACTTCTGTGCAAACAATCCTGTCAGTGACAATCAGACACATGTGAATGTGTACACACAATGAAAATGTTTGTTCTTAAAAGACTATGTGCCCATACATGCATACATTATATATACACATATACAAAATACTGAGACCCAGGAATAAATGGAAAAAGGATATTAATAGAGAGTATTGAATACAATGGTTCTCCAAACTTCGTGTTTCTATTTTTGTTTTAAAATAATTTTTGCCCCAAATGAAGTTGGTTCATGGTCATATCACTTTAATAACTCTGGAGCACCTCATGGCATGTAAAAGAGATAAAAATATTTTAAGTTATTGCAATGTAGGAATCATTCTGAATTATAAAAACATTTCTGTTGAAAAGCTATGACTATATAATGTGCTATAACATTGCTTAATTAATTGTTACATATATCATTGTGCAAACATGCATCTTTAGGTAACTGGAAGACATAATTTTGGCAGAATTAGTTTGTTCTTTCAAGTAATGAGACATAACACTGTTAATAACATTGAGAGCAATACAGATATAACATAAAGTAGGCTGTAGGTATATTTTTAAGGGAATTTAAGAATTTTCTTTTAAATGATGGTTTTTACATAAACTAACATTTTGCTTTTATTTCAAAAGGAAATTTAAAACCTAGAACTTAGAATGATAAATAATCAAACCAAAACATAATCAGAAATCTTACAAAAATTCATTAATGTAATTTCATAGTATAAATTATATGATTTTATTATAAATTATAAATAATTTAAATAAAATATATTTAAATAAGAATATATTCATAATTCTCAAAAAACAGGAATATATATAATTCTCAGGATAAGTTAATTTTTCCCTTTAGTCATYAATTGCAAGAAAAACTAAATTTTGTTAATTCTTATGACATAATCATAAAGTAGCATAACATTTTGCAAGATAAGTATTTCAAACAGCAGAGCTGCTCCCTGCTGATCTTGACAGTGCTATCAATAAGGTTTCTCAAAGTACTTTTAACTTCAAATACATATCTTTATAGAAAATTCATTTAAAGAAACTGTTTATTGCTTCAAATGTAAGCAGTACCATATTCATTRAAATAAAAATTCATCATATATATTAATTTTTAAAATRCAATTAAATATAAAATGATTATTTAAAAATGAAAGATAATATAGAGAATAGACTTGATGGCAAGTTTCCTTCCCCAAATTATAAAAATAACATTCTAATCAGTGTCATGGATGAGAGTTAAACATATTAACCAGTTACATGGTAGGAATGTGTCTTTACTCTAAGGGGTAAATTGTATGCTTTCCTTTAATTATTCACCAGTCAATGCATTTCCAGCACTTAATCTAAATATCTCTAGTTATGCTATTATCAACATTCTAATGACCTTAGTGATCTACACATATGCTACACAAATATTTAATTACAATCACCCCATCAAAGCGCTGAAGAGGTCATTAATTAAATTTTAGGATTCTGATKTTTTAAAAAATATTCAATTTTAAAGATGGGGGAGAAGCTCATGATAAAGACTGTGCTGATGAAATGGGGCCAGSGGTGTTGCTCTAGCAAGCTGAGAAGAGGCAAGATGGAATACTGTTCTTTCATGCTCACTCGGCAGTCCTGTTACTTAAGCAAATTAGCAGGCACTGATGCAAAACAATAAACAAATCTACAGACCTGAATTCCTTCTTTAGTCTGAAGGAGAAATTACCATATCTCAAAATTTATCTCACATTA